GCACGCGCGCGCACGCACACAACACTACTATTATTATCACTATTTTTATACTATATTAAAATAACGAAACATAGATGATCCGCAGTACACATCAACTAAATTATCAGTAGCAAAAGTTTATTTGGAATGCAAAAAAACTAAGTGGACTTCAATGCACGAATTACATACTTGTAAAAATTAAAGGATTCTACAAGTCAAACCACTGGTGAACAGATACAGAGAGTAATAACAAATACAGAGTGCAATAAAAGAACAGGCAATATGTCTCTAAGCTAATGATGGTAAATAGTGGATGTCAAACGTATTGAGAAGCTCTCGACAGAGTGTAGGAAACGTCAAGCATCTCGCCACATCACATCTATTTTTGAGCGTCGGCGAGGTTATCAATGACTGGTAATCAAGTTAAATAACACTTGTTAATCTGCGAGTGTAGTTGTTATAAATTACACGAGGGAAAACGAAGGCGTACACTGGACAGTAAGTTCAACGCTGCAGCGCCTACTTTCTATGGCGCCTACTTATAGCTTTATTACTACAACCTCATATCGTTTCGCATTGTGTATTGCGGAGCGATATGAAGATTTAGTCATAGGGCTTTCTTACTAATGCTGCAATATAATATACCACCTATATTAAACATGTAGCATACGTATATACTTGTAACTGTGATATATTAAGAGTGTAGTATATAATAATACTGTACGTTATAATGTTACAATTTATATGCTCACTGCAACCACTGGTTCTGTCGACTAAAGTTGCTACCGATTGGCAACATGATAAACTCAATGCTCGCAAGCCAACGCTCCGTTTACTATACCTTTACTACCTTTGTAACGAAACGTTATGGTCTAATTAACAATTATGTAATTCGTGTACAGGTTTGTACTTTATCACTGTTTTGATTTCGAGAGATCCTTTATTATATGAGCAGGTATATAATAATGTATATTTCGCAGACAACACAGTTGCACAGATACTGAATGTACCTGAGCAAACTAAAAATCACGATTTGTGTGTGATCAATATACAGTCGAAGCAAGAGATATATGTGATACGTGTATACCAATAGGCCTATATCTGACCCCCCCCCACAGTACACCAGAGTACAGCTTGGACTGAAGTCATGCATAGTGTCGTGCAGACAAGCTAGTTAAGAGAACCAATTCCGTTTTCGTCGATATAGATTTATAGTTTTACATGCACCTTGCGCATGTATGATATGCGTGACTAAAACTATAATTATTTGTTCGTATTACTACGCCGATTATAAAATAAATTTAACTCAATATATCATTGTCAATTGATTTATGTAGATCCAACTTGCTTTAGGAAGAATACATCTATGATTATGTTGGCTCGATGTAAAGCGGAACAGCTGTGAATTTTTATTACAATCATCGAGACGATAATTATATGCGTCAACTTGTATCACTGTAAATAGTGCAGTCATGTACGAATCACTACTTTCACAAATGCCTCGTCATCAAATCTTAGATTCGTCGTTGCTACATTAATTAAACGCTAAGTATAATAAACATTTATTGATATTACGATACGCCGTGTATGCGTATGCTATGACTACCTACAGATGATATTACTAATCAAGCCGCAAGCACTAAGTGGTGGCAGCAATAATACACGTTGATTATGTAAATGTTCATGCTACATTTAGCATATGTAAATGTTCTTGTATGTAAATTATCCTATATAGTAAAAGCATGTGGGAATTAACAAATGTTATTTTTTAACACTAAATACTCTATCTAATGTTGTAATTTCGAAATCTCTATAGCCTGACGCGTTTACTGTGTGTTTGATATACGCACATGTTCGTATAAACGCGTCAGTATTCATAGATCTGCCTCAACTTCATTTTCACACACTATTCAATCTGTGAGCTCTCTTGGAGAAGAAAGCATGTAAACATGTTTGTCAACTCATTATTATTTCTGTCATATTTATGCTTCATAAGGAATGAAGTTTGTTTATGGGTAACACTAGCTAGTCCAGTATGTATAGGAATTCTAGTATTTATTATATAGGAGGGACACAGTAGAAGTTTTAACTTTAAGGTTCACAGTAATAATATTATATTAAAGGTATACTATGTAGTAACATCCTAGCTTTCAGTACCACTCTCAATTAAATTCAGTATTAATAGGTAAATATATATTTTTGCTGGTTAATAATAATTAGAAATAATGAAGGACAACTTTGAAACGTGTAGATTCATTTTGCGCGGTATTTCTCCATGTTTCACGCCGAGCGCTTATAATAATGGTTGGGTCACTATTAGTCTAATGAATTTATTCACCAGGCTAATTTTTATATGTAAACCGCAGTTAGGCGTAATATGAATTCTGTTACAAGCTCCTACACCGAGTAAAGCAAAAATGAATTTTGTAAAGCACAACTTGTGTCAATGCGGCGAGTTGCAGCACAAGGAATTAACCCATCCATCATACACCGACACTATCTAATTAAAGACACGCACTCTTTAATTATCTTTCACTGATATCGAGATAGAGATATAACATAAGATATATAATTTATAGATATAGCAGTAAAAACATTACGTACCATAAACGTGATAATTTAACTGAAGATGGAAGGAATGGAGCTTTATTGCTCAACTATAGATGGGAGCTTATGTTAGGAATTGTATATGCATTATATGTGATGATTCGACCAAATATATCTACTGGTATAGCTAGTCAGTCGGCTACCACCGAAATACATAACGACATGCCGTCAACCATGTTTATGTCTGCTCCGCTATAAAAACAACATCACGGTGTTCAGATAGCAGTGTAACAACATGAAAGACAGACGAATATACAATACACGGAATACCTTTAAGGTATGCTATGACGGCGCATGCAGTAGTAATGCAATTAAAACAAATATAAAGGAAATGAGTGCAGAACTGCTGTCCCCGCCGGTGGCGCGATGCGACGTGGAAGCGCTTGTACTCCGGGCCGCAGAGGG